AGATTAATTTCATGACAAGAATAGACAAAGCAGACAACTGTACCGAAACTGAAGGTGGAAAGAACCAAGACAAGCCACCACTGCGCCCACAACTCCGTTCTTCTAGTGTCTTGCATAGACACGCCATTTCTATAATCTAATGCATCATCATCACATATACCAAAGTCAGCAATACACGTTCAATCTACTAAATTACACACATAAATGAACTTACCCTTGTTGAAATTTTGGTCCTTGGCAAAAGCTCGACAAAATCTTCACGTAACAAGGAAAGAACCCCGCCACCAACACTAACCAATGTGTCACTGTTATACAATACCAAGTTCAAACAACACAACATTAGAATAAGCAAATACCAAAAACATCCTACAAATATAATCCAATTTTACTTGTAATGATTTCGGGAGGTACCTTTCGGGAAGCTCACTACTAAAAGCAAATTGAAGCATCTTTACTGCCTCCAGAGTCAATGGTGTCTCAACAACAAAGGGAGGAGCACGGTACAAAGCTTGTGCTTTCTTAGCTCTGGGATTTGCCCGTTCGAATGGAGAGACCACATACAAACTAGGCTTCAATTTAGACACACTACGTAGTGCACCTCCCTTTCGTCCCTTTCTTGTTCAAAAACATAAAAACAAAACCAGTTCATTAGTAACCACACCATAAGAACCAATAATTAGAAAAATTAATCAAGTGAAATACCTTCACAGCCTTGGAACAACCATCATTAGCAGCAACACTTTCATCACTCAACAATATGAATTTCTCAACTTGCGACGCTTTAGGCTGCTTGCAAGGAGACTTTTTCACAACTTTCACAGAAGGAGATTCAGAACATCTCTCATCTCCAATTTCCCCCTCAGCTTCTCCCGAATTCTCAACTTTGGCAGTCTTGACACATTCCAAGGTAGGAGAAATGGGTTCCCTAGGTTTTTCAACCTCACCCTTCTGATCGTTCTTTTTCAACTCACCTGTAGGAGAAATGGGTTCCCTAGGCTGCTCCCTTGACAACGGATCACCTACAGTTGCTTTCACTGCCTCTATAAGGGACTTCACTGCAGTACCGATTTCGTCTCTAAAAGCCCGAAATTCGTTCTCCATTTTCACAACCCGGCTCATTAGCTCATTATCTCTAGAAGCAGCATCACCCATTGCCACTCTAAATTCTTGACCAAAGTTGTCAATTCTACCCTCCATGGTACTAAACCGAGCATCAATACGCTCATAGAGAAGCAGCTCATCCCCGTCGGGTTTGTGCCGTTTCCCATCTCTTTTTCCCCGTTTCCTTGGAGGTAATTTCAAACCGGCATCCTCAGCTGATCTTTTCCCCGAACTGCTGGAAACCTATAAATTAATTAAAAAGGGAACCAAATGTACCATTAGCATGCTCCAACTTGTCAAAAGAATCAAATATACTATCAATCTTACCACTTTTGTTAACAATAACTCCACGTCTCCGCTCCCCCAACTCATCAAATCCAAACTCCCATCAACGGTTTGGAAAATACCATTTGCATGCTCCATGAATATTAACTACAAAAAAAAAATACTATAATCAACATGATGATTAATCATTACAAATATGTAGAAAGTCGGGATTAGCAATTATTTACCTCCAAAAACAGCAAGCAACCCGGTATATACTCTCTTTTATAAGCATTATGGTCGCAGATGCATTTGACCAATTCATTGAAGCAAAAGGATGCCCAATTCTTCTTCGGAATGTCTGCAACATCGGTGACAGCGTATACCGAAGACAAGGAAATGTCCTCTCTTCTACTTGGTACTAATAGCACCCCCATTACGTACAAAATAAACATTTGAAGAAATAGATCGTCGCTATCTTTCATCTTCGACAACTCCTTCTTCATTAAGCTTGTGGAAATCGCCTGTCGGCCACAATCACGTGTCGAAAACACTCTAAATGGTTCCAGTTCCTCTGATCTTCCCTCCACTTCTTCACCATTCAAGATGATATCAGTACCTCCCTCAGGCACACCCATAATTCGCTCGAAATCTTTGGCCGAAATATGCACTTCCAACCCATACGCCTTAATTGTGCTTTCTTCCAGATTAAAGCTCTTAACAAGTTTCTCCAACAACTCACGTTGTAGCTTTCTTGCTTTGACTTCAAGAATACGACCAAAGCCACATCTCCTAATGGCATCTGATTGACAAGCCTCTAAATTTGAGACTACTGAGAATACTTTCCTAGGAGAACATCGCGTGCTGAAAATTTGATGCCTCTTCGTCTTCATTATAGAACAATTTTAGCAAACTGCAAAATTAAAACAACAGAAAAATTATAAGCATGCCTTGAAACACGAATTATAAGCATGCCGAAGAGTACAAACAAAATACAAGTTCTAACTACCAGAAGAACTGAAAAACCCCCTACATCAACACCTGAGTACACTAATTAACCATGAAATCCGCCATTGGCATATATAAATTTCACCAAAACACCCAGCTTTTCATTAAATTTCACCCAAAAATGCAAAATCTCACGGCCGTGACATGACCCGTGAGAAGCAAAGAGAAAGTTTTCATATCTCCAGACAATCTCACGGCTTTGGCTTCATAAATCACGACCGTTAAAATAAGTCGTGAAACTAAAAACACCCACTAAATATTCTCACGGCTAATTCTTGAAATTTCACACCCGTGAGAAGTCCAGCATTTCAATTACACAAACACGGCTCATCTCACGGCCGTGATACTGTCGAACCCAACCCGTGAAAACCCCTTGGAACTCCCCCCTTTTTTAAAAAAAATCTAACGGTACATTCTCCCGGCCGTGATATTTTCATATGTGAGGCGTGGTTTTTGAGTTTCCAGCTGTGACCATATCACGGGTTAATCTCACGCCCGTGATATTTACAGATGAGCCGTGAGAAGTGCATATTTACAGATGAATCTCTAATCAGAAAAATAATACTGGAATGCATGAAAGAATGAACTAATGATTAAGCATGAGGAGATGAAGTCCAAGGTTTACTTGATGAATCACGACATAACCTATCAATTGCATCACAATCTTGCTCTAATAGTAAACTGAGGTATTAATCACATAAACGTAGACGGAGCCAGCCATTCAAACGAAATAAAAGCTCAAATGAATGCAAAGAATCACATAAGACTAATGCAAAGCTCATGCAAAGAATCACAGAAGACAAATGCTTCGATTACCCTTTTCTACAATACATCCACACAACAAGCATACTACAAATAGTTGCTAGCTTAACCACAATGGGAACATGATTAGGACTCCTCTCCCAGCGCTCACAAAGACAAGATGAATTGCATGCTTGGAATGACGATTATGTAACTCAACAAGGCAATAGCTCTCTCGACACATGCAACTCATACCGGTTTCCAAGTGAAATGGAGTTTCCATTTATGAAAAAGTAAACAAAAAAAGTTTCCAAAACTAATTTATGATATCATTTTCATGAGATAGCATTTAGCTATGGTGGAAAACCACATAAAGAACACATGATCTTTGCTTGGTTCATGCATGCTATTTCCTAGGCTCTTTCACCAAGTGTGAGTTTTCTTGGTGACAAGCATTTTCCTCTTTGGTACATGATTAAATTGTTCACTACCAAACAAGGCAACCACAACCATGCACAACTCTCCCTTCAAGCTTCAATGTGTAAATCGACTCACAATGAACTTTAGTAGCAGGAAAATCTATGGCTGTATGGTTAATGGAGGAGCAACCAACAACCACATTACACCACGTTGCTTTGACAAAGACCTCTCTGTCCATATGAAAAAGCAGCTTTTTGGAATTGACAACATGTTCCTTCCCACTGGAGACACAGCCACCACCAAGGAAAATTGACCAGCAGAAGTAGAACATGCTACTTATCATGACAAGTTTAGAATCAACCAACTCACCCCTAATTCTGTAAACAATAAGATGGGCTTACAAGATGAACTACAATGGCTTTCAGAAGGATTTTGATCAACATCGACCTACATCTATGAGGTCCACGATTAAAACCAATACCAGGACATCAACATGCAGGTCTCATATGTGAATTGATAGTTTTGCTTTGACACTAATCAGTCAATATATAGCTAATTATCAAGCTAAACACAAAGAAGATAGTACAAGGACATCAACCTCGTAAAAGGACATGACCAATTAAACTCATAAACCTAAAACGAGCATGGAATTTCAATCCCCCTACCGAAATGTGTAAATCTAGAACATCCCAACATAATCCCTAAGCTGATAGCCATACTAACCGGAAAATTGAATAAAATTGTAGAACTGATAGCATACTAACCGAAAAAAGTTGCGGTGGAGGAGGTAGGTCAGCGGTCTTCTTTTGCTATCGATGGGAAGAGGGGGTTCTGTGCAGAGTCTTCGTTTGCTATCGATGGGAAGAGGGTCCTTCGTTTGCAATCGACGAGAGATGCTCGCTCTTCGTCGTCCCTTGCTCGCCGCCTTCACTGTCGTCGTCGGAATCCGGCTCGCCGCCTTCACTGTCGTCGTCGGAAATCCGGAATCCGAATCGCCTGCAAATCGACAAGCTTCTTCTACTCGTCGTCACCCACTGCTCGCCGTCTTCACTCGTCGTCACCCACTGCTCGCCGTCTTCACTGTCGCCGTCTTCACTGCTCGCTAGCTGCGTGGAGAGGATCGAAGGAAGAGGATCGAAGGAAGAATGGTTTCGGCGGTGAGAAGAGGCGAGAAGAATGGTTTCGGCCGTGAGAAGAGGTGAGAAGAGGTGAGAAGAATGGTTTGGCCCAAATAATTTCAGACAACCGGTTGTACCGGTTGTCCACACAAATAAAATAAAATATTAATAATTTAAATAAAATCTAATGGTTGATATAGTTTGAACATGATCTAATGGCTGTAAATGTTTTATAGCACCAATACTATAAAGCACACTAAAATGCCTCTTCTGTACCTCCACAAATATTCAAGGCTGAAGATCGTCTACAGAGATCTAAAAGCCAGCAACATCTTGCTTGACAGTGAGATGAATCCAAACATATCGGATTTCGAGTTGACCAAGATATTCCGTCCCAATGAGTCCAGAGCAAGCATTGCACGTGTTGCTGGAACTTTGTACGTGGGTTGATAGACCTTCATTTTCATGTGCTGTTTAAATTGAGTTCCTTGCAGACTAGTTCTTGTCCTGTAGATAAAAAAGTATACAATGTTTGAATACTCTGAAATATTGCAGTGGGTTTTGCGATGGATTTAACTTTTTCATCGCAGAAGATCTAATTTTTCGCGGACATGGAGAGGTAATAAATTGAGATGGTTTCTTAGCTTTATACGACGAGGTGCGTTGTTGCAGAAGGATCGAGGAGATTCTGTGCCAAAGAATTTCGTCGTAGAACTTTGCGATATTTTGCGACGAAGTTATTTCATCCGTAAAGATATGGGAATATTTTCCGACGATTTCTTCTTGTCACCAAAAGTTTAGATCACTTGCCGACGAGTCGACGACATAGTTCCTCGCAAAAATGGAATTTGGTTATGCGTTTACCGGTTTCTGGCATAGATAGTAAATACTCTGTTTAATACGCGTATATACTTTATCCGTTTAAAATTTATGTATCCGTATTATTGTTAAGCCGTTTCATTTGTTTCCGTTCATTTGACGGCTCCCGTACTAAACACGTATAAATTCCGTATACACGTTTAATATTAGTATTTAATGAATTAAATTATTAATTTTACTATTTAATTATATTTATTTATTTTTCAAAATTATTAATTTTATATATTTATGACTATTAACGTACTATTAAACGTAACATTAGTTTAGAGACGAAGTAAAATACACATACGCATTTTATACATAACTTTCCTGTATCGTATTTTATTTTACTAACTATGGTTTCTGGTAGTCACTCAACTCTTTATCCCCAATTTCTTCGCAAAAACCTATGTTAGATAATTTAAAGGATTAATATTATTTCGTACCCCTCGACTATTGCCGATTAACAAACGTATCCCTCTAATAATTTTTTGCACAAACATACCCTTATAATATTAAAACGTAACGATTGTACCCTTCCATCCAATTTTCCGTTAAATGGCCAATTAATGGGCTGCAAAATGACCTTATTGTCCCTTAATAACCCCCAATTTCAAATTTTTATTCCTAAACATTTAATTAAAAATCAAAACCTAGTCCATAAAAAAAAAATCAAAACCTACGGACAGCGACGTTCCTTCTTCCTCTTCCCCCCGACTCGGCGACCCCTGTCACATGTGGCCGATGACATGGCACCAACAAGGTGACAACAAGGCGGCTGCACATGTGGCATGTATGGAAGACTAGTAGCATAGAGATGCTCCTAGGATTCTCCACCTTAATAGAGAGCTTAATGGTGCACTTATGAGTCACATAATGGGTGACATTTATAGAGTGCATTATGGGGGGACTTTATGGGGTGTATTGATGTAGAGGGACCATTATGAGGGGCATTGATGCCTTGTATGAGGAGAGGCCTATATAAGGAACCATCTCCCTCACTTGTAACTCATTCCATCATTTTTTAGAGTAATACACACTAGAGAGTTCTCCCAATCCTTTGTCTTTGTTCTTATTCTTTGCTTGCAAGTGAGTTGAGAGAAAGGCTGCCTAGCACTCTAACGGATTTGAGAGCTAGGGCTGCACGATCAAGAGTAAGGTCATGACAAGTGGTATCAGAGCCTGGTTCGGCTTTGTGCTAGCAAAGTTGAACCTAGAGCCAGAAGGAAAGGAAGAACCTCACCAAAAATGTCGGGATCAGAAGTCCATGACGATGCTGAGAAGCCGCGTGGAAGAGAGCCCACACCGGGCCAGAGGGCAAAAGGTACGTCGAGCACTCGTGATCCTCTCAAGTCCCTAGAGAGGCGAGTCTCGAGGATGGAAGTGAAGTTGGCGGAAGATATCACTACCATCGAGGATTTGGGAGGTAACTTCGCCCAAGTCAAAAGCGATGTTCAAGGAATGGCTGGTAGGTTGACAAGCTTGGAGATCAACCATGATGGGATGCGGGAAGAGCTTGTGGCCCTCATCAACAACACCATCACCGCCTCCATGAACAACGCCATTGAAGTTGTGAAAGAGCATGTCTAGGCTGAGCTGGTCGGCGTGAAGGAGGAGATTGCAGACCTCAAGAGTGAGGTCACTCTCGTGAAGAGAGCCATGGCTAGCGGACCAGCCCCGGTGCAATCCGTCCCACGTGCTGATGTTCCAAGACCGAAGAACTTCGGAGGTTCAAGGAACGCGAGTGTGTTAGAGAACTTCCTTTGGAGTCTTGAGCAGTACTTCAAGGCATCCGGCATCCAAGAGGATGAGGTAAACCTTCGTACCGCTCCACTATACTTGGTTGATGTTGCAATGGTGTGGTGGAGGCGACGTGAAGCGGACGTCGAAAGAGGTACTTGCATGATGGTAACATGGGAAGATTTCAAGAGAGAAATCAAGAAGCAGTTCTACCCGGAGAACGTGGAGTTTGAAGCCTGTTCGAAGTTGAGAAGACTCACCCAGAGGGGTGGAGTTCGAGAATATGTGAAAGAATTCTCGGAGCTGCTTCTAGAGATCCCGGACATCACGGACAAGGAGGCCATGCATGGCTTTCTTGATGGGCTGCAACCATGGGCCAAGATGGAGATGCAACGTCGAGGAGTGCAAGACCTTGCAACTGCCATGGCCACGGCGGAGTCTTTTGTTGAGTACAAAAGGCAAGAGAGCAGCGGCAAAGAGAAGAGTTCAAAGCCCAACAAGGGTGGAGAGCAGCAGAAGCCTTTCAAGGAGGGCACTCGCGCTCAACAACACCAAGGTGGTTCGAGCAAAGGGGGTAAGTACGAGCCAAAACCCATGTCTTGCTTCCTTTGCGATGGACCACATCGAGTGCGGGATTGCCCAAGGAAGGCGAGATTGGCGGCCATGGAAGCTCAAGAAGAGGAGCCCAAGGCGACGGAGGCCAAGATTGGCTCAATCCGCAAGCTTGGCGCGGTGAAGACCGACGTCAAGGAGAGCAAGCGTGGGAGGTGCTATGTTCTGGTGCAATTCAAGCAAGGCAAGTCAAAAGCCTTGGTGGATACCGGTGCCACGGACAACTTCCTTCGCATCGAGGAGGCAAACCGGCTGGGTATTGCCTACGAGAAGGGGCAAGGGAGGCTCAAGACAATCAACTCGGAGTCCATCCCAATCCATGGAGTTGCTCACAACGTGCCAGTGAAGCTTGGCGAGTGAGAAGGCCTCATCGACTTTTTCGTCGTCACCATGGACGATCACCCAGTCATCCTCGGCATCAAATTCCTTGACAAGGAGGGAGTGTTCTTGAAGCCCAACTCCAACGCGATGTGCTTGGAGAAGGAGGGGGAGTTTCATGCGGTCCATCTTTTGAGAGAAGATGGCCCCCATAGTGCTCTATCGGCCATGCAGGTATTGAAGGGGTTCAAGAAGAATGAACCAACCTTTCTTGTGTCCTTGAAAATGGAGGAAGAAGGAGGCTCAACGGGAATCACAACTCCCATCATCGAAGGTGTCCTCGAAGAGTTCGATGACGTGATGCCATCGGAGTTGCCCAAGAAGCTGCCACCAAGAAGACAGGTGGACCACAAGATCGAGTTGGAGCCAGGAGCGAAGCCCCCTTCGCGAGCACCATACTGCATGTCGCCACCGGAGTTAGAAGAGTTGCGGAGGCAGCTCAAGGACTTGGTGGACGCAGGCTACATGCGGCCATCGAAGTCACCTTTTGGAGCACCGGTACTGTTCCAAAAGAAGAAGGAAGGGTCGTTGCGGATGTGCATCGACTATAGAGCCATCAACAAGTTGACGGTGAAGAACAAGTGGCCGATTCCCAACATTGCCGACTTGTTCGACCAGCTTGGAGATGCGATGTGGTTCACCAAGCTTGATCTTCGCTCGGGCTACTATCAAGTGCGGATAGCAGAGGGCGACGAGCCAAAGATGGCTTGTGTGACGAGGTATGGCTCTTATGAGTTTCTTGTGATGCCATTCGGTCTCACCAATGCACCAGCCACGTTTTGCACTTTGATGAATCAAGTGTTCGAGCCATTCTTGGACCGGTTTGTCGTGGTCTACTTGGATGACATCGTCGTGTATAGCAAAACACTCGATGAGCATGCCAAGCATCTATGCCAAGTCTTCCAAGTCCTTCGCGACAACGAGTTGTACGTCAAGAGGGAGAAGTGCACATTTGCCCCCACGGAGGTTCCATTCTTGGGGCACGTCATTGGTGGAGGCAAGTTGAAGATGGATGGAGCGAAGGTGCAGGCAATCCAAGAATGGGAGCCGCCGACGAAGGTGCCAGAATTGTTGTCATTCCTCGGCCTTGCCAACTACTATCGGAGGTTTATCAAGGGCTACTCCAACATTGCAGCACCCTTGACGGATCTCTTGAAGAAGAACAAGGCGTGGGATTGGTCGGAAAGGTGCCAAGCAGCATTCGAGGCCTTGAAGCAAGCAGTGGTGAAGAAGCCCGTGCTTGTACTCCCCAACCCGACGTTGGCCTACGATGTGCAGACCGATGCGTCCGACTTCGCGATTGGAGGTGTGTTGATGCAAGATGGGCATCCCATTGCCTTCGAGATTCAGAAGCTCAACGAGACAGAGAGGCGATACACCGTTCAAGAGAAGGAGATGACGGTCGTGGTGCATTACTTGCGCACATGGAGGCACTACTTGTTGGGGTCGAAGTTCGTAGTGAAGACGGACAACGTGGCAACGAGCTACTTTCTGACGCAGAAGAAGCTCACCCCCAAGCAAGCGAGGTGGCAAGACTTTTTGGCCGAGTTCGATTTCGTTATGGAGTACAATCCAGGCAAGGCGAACTCCGTTGCCGATGCTCTTAGCCGCAAGAGTGCAGCCGCAAGCATCAGCTAGCCCATGTTTCCTTTGAAGGAGCGGATCGTTGAAGGGCTTGGCCATGACCCCTTTTCCAAAACCGTAGTGGAGTACATTGAGAAAGGGAAGACTCGACGGTTTTGGATGAAGGATGGGCTCATCATGACCAAGGGAGAGCGTGTGTTCGTGCCAAGATGGGCCAACTTGAGGAAGGAGATCATGAAGGAGTGCCATGATTCCAAGTGGGCGGGCCATCCTGGCAT